TATGCACATCCGAGTCTTTTCTGAATGTAACATGTTTGTATGCATTTAGTTTGTAAATGAGAATTATTTATCAACACTTGAAAGTCGATTGTAGTGGCACGTAATGTTTTTGTTATAAAGAAATCATTGTGGCTGCGTAGTTCTTTAAATTATTATTTTTGCTTAACTAGAAGATTAGTGAGCGGCCTTGTGGCAAACATATTTCGTATTGAAGAATGCTTTTATTTTGCGATTTCAATAAATTTTTCACGTGAACCGTTTATAGTTAGTTAATTGTTTATTAAATTAGTTATTAAGTTCTGTTTGTTAATTTACTACCCAACAATTTCTAAATTTTTTTGTTGTGTTGACAAATTTGCATAAATAGGATATTTTCGTGAAATTATTGGTCCTAAAAAGTATTTTTTTTATGCAATCGAACTTTCCTGTAACGAATCCCCATGGGACCAAAAAATTTATTCGTTTTACCGAAATAACAATTTGTTCAAGTAAAGTATTTGCACCCTCATATTTCTTTCACAACAGATGGATGTATTTTTTTAATATCTTAAAAAAGACGGGATATGTATGTATGTTTTTCGGCTTTTTCACAAAGCACTGGCTACTGCTGTAAATTGTTGTTGGTGAACCTTCTTTCTAATCATGATTCTAACTCTAATTATGATTCTAATTCTGAGAATCATCTAGCCACAATCGCTAATTTACTAAAAGACTGTCACTACTCAAAAAACTGGGTTTTCATTAGATGCGTTTAAAGTCGTCAAAAAAAAAGATAACCAAAATTTTCTGGAAATTAAATTATTTATTTAAAATACATATGTATGTGTGTATGTATGTACGTATTGTATGTAGCTGCGCTACCTTAAAATATGTTTTTAATCAATTGTTTGTCATATTTATCCAACTGCAGCTAAAAGTCCAAAATTAAATTTATTATAAGAGCACTATGCTAATTAAACATTTTCATTGTCTTGCAATTACTGTGATATAATAGATTTTAGGGACATACATATATGTATGTACATACATTAGGCAGGGTCTTCAAAATCGAATAGAGAAAAAAATAACTTTATTCACTATTCCTTTGATATTGAAAGTCACAGTGTTTGGTATACGTTCGTAAACAAGCAAGAGATTTAGCGCGTCAAACTGCTAAACTCTTAAAAGTCTATTTTAACGACCCTGAAAAGTACGGTTGGAATTTTAATTTTCTCCCCCCCCCCCCCCATCCCCTTCCGACTTTACTTTTTAACACGTATTTTTGGACCACCCTAATGTGCATACATATGTATCCCAAAATTACTAGTCCAATTAAAATATTACATTCATTGTAATACATATGTTTATATTCTTCAATATTCGCCATTTTAGTACCATACCACTGACTTTAAAATACTTTTCTCACGCCATTTCCCCATTGTGAATAAAAAAACCCAAGATTATTGCTATCAATAATTCACTCCAATAAATTTTCTCAGCTCGCTGTAAGTCCACTCGGTCACCTCAAAGCCATACGCTTAATATTTTCCTATCGAATATGTGATCATTTGTGATCGTTAATTGAATGGCTGCAATTAATTTGAAAACTGAAATGCACAATACAATAAATATGTACATTGCTTTGACCCACATATGCAGTATGTTTGTACTCGTATCATCAAATGAAATGTATTGTGAACACAATTTACTTAACTTTTCCCCTACTGACTGCAAAAGCATTAAATATATCAATTAATTTTAGGCTTGGACGATTTCACAATAAGAAAATTGTAATTATATGTACATACTTGCATATATATATATATGTATGTATATGTGTGCTATATGTATATAGCATTTTTATATACGCCTTCAATTGATTAACATTAGAAGTCTCATGTTCCTACATACATCCATACATTCATATGTATGTATGTACATATGTACCTACACATCGTTACCGTAATATTGTCACATCGTCGCTGAAATACAAAAAGCCGTAACTATCTAAAAATCCAAAACATCAATTTTTGATTGATTATGGTGAGTTTCATCGAATTATAAGTCCCCATATCCCCGCAAAAAATAATATTTAGTTACGTAAGGTAACGATATGTATGTGTATACTTACATATGTATATACCTATGTAAAAACATAATATAAATTTAGAAAAAAATATGTATAAGCATTAAGAACATAAGTAAAAAGTAGTACAGTTGTTGTTGTTGTTGTAGCAGCATACAAATTCCCCAAAAACTTTTTGGGGAGTGTTGCTGGAGTGACAGTCCTTGGCCAGATATAAATCTGGGTCGTTCCGGTTACGTAGACCCGACTGTCGTGGGAACGAAGTAGTACAGTCATACGTATTAGTTTAGCCATAAGCAAATTATATTAATTAAGAGTTCGAGAAGCGACTTACATACAAATGAAATGAAAATTCATTATATTACACATATCAGCATAAAAAGTATATTATTGTAAGTATGCCAAAAATAAGTATGACGATTTCACTTTAAGCAAGTTCAACAAATTATGTTTAATTATATAGAAATACACATACATACATGCGTATAAAGTCTAAGGAATTGATTCTTCGTTTCACTACTTAAACAGATAGTTACTTTACTAAAACCAAAAGCGAATTGTATAAATATTTACTTAAATACATAAATACTTATGTTGTTATGTGATAGCTGTTATTGCAAAGTGTCAAAGTGGCACGTAAATTATGTATCGACTAATCCACCTGAGTTATAAACTTGTCAATATACAATTGATGTCGTTGTTTGTCATGGTGTTTGTTTGTCAATAAAGTTAAATAAAAATGTTAAAAATTGGATTTGCCTTTTATTTGCAATGAAAATCCACTGAAATAATACAAACATGTCTCTGTACACATGCATATGGATATGTAATTGATTAAGGGGTGTTTGTGTAGAAAGGAATTAATTAGTAATTGACTAGTTGGGAGGCGTTAAAAGGTCTTTAAACTAATGAAAACTTAAGCTTTGGTCTAATATATCACCGAAAAAACCAAACAGAATAATTAAAATTTAGTTAAATATTCATCTAAACAAACAAAAGTATTAGCATTCATTGTAACGCCTAAAACAAAACACAGAAACGCTTAAACACTTTGGAGACCTTAAAATCACCTCCCAAATTCCTCTATGCGGAACTACTAAAATCCACCATTTTGCAGTTCCATTTTGTTCACAGAGATACTTTTGCTCCTCTGCACTCGCACGGTTGCCATTTCGTCCGAAATTTACCATTTTTGGTAAATTTTTTCCATTTTGGTACATTTTGATATCTGGTAAAATAATGGGCTGTTTTTGCTTACGCGTAAAAGCACATTTAGCGCATTTAGCTCGATATGACATTCAAAGCGTAACGAAATATAGGAAATAAATGAAAAACAAGTTGAAGTTTAAAGGTTTGGTTCTCATGAGAGCAACGTCATTTTGGCTTCTACCTGTATTTATGTGCCTTGAGTGTGAACAACCACTATAGTTTGAAGGTATATTGGTAGAATTTTTACATTTTGGTACATTTGTTGGTACTAAAAAAAGGAAAAAGTGGCAACCGTGTGCAGTCGTCATTCGTATAGTGTAGAGAATTTTTACAAGTCGCAAAGGTGTGTAGCTCTGAATAATTTTACAATTATTTGCAATTTTAGTGGTTTTTAAATAGTAAAAAGTGCAAAAATGTAGTGAACAAGGACAATGGATTTCGATGCCGAAAAAAATTCCGTTGAAAATGTGAAATTTATAGCTTTTTCTTTGTTTAAACTACTTGCCTTCGACTAATTGGGGAAAGTGGTTAACAGCAGACAGGTCGGAAAAAGTCGGGCGCCGCTGTTAGGTAGACTGTTATGTTGCTGCGCTGTAAAACGAACGAAGTTTCTCTACATCGGTGCTGTCAAACAGTTGCAGCGCTGTTAAACAGTTGCATTTTAACAACATGGCCCTGTTAATTTAAAATTTAAGTGCATATTTTAACTTGGTGGGCTATGTCAGACGGATGCGTTCTTATTGGGAGCAATGATAAATTTCTGAAAAAAAGCAAAAATAATCAGGTTAAAAATTTAACTAAGGGTCGTATAAATATTTTAAAAGAATAATTTAAAAATTTGAGTAATTTGCATTCAACAAAGGAGGTCCACCTTGCAAGACGTCGCAGTTGACCGCACACATGGAATGTGAGATACAAAAAATATGGAGCCCGAGGAATATTAAGAATTGGAACATTCGACTCTGCATTAAAAGTGCATATGTGTGCGTTGCACACATCGTGCAGGGCCAATGCCGATGCATGCAACTGCTTAGCAGTTTGATGGCATTTGCCTGGTTGTAAGTTGCAACAAAACGTTTAATCGCCTTTTTAAATGTGCAGTTCGTGCCTTCAATCGGAATATACTGAGTCGAATTTCTCTTTTACTATTTGTTCGTTGTTGAGAAGTGTTTGCGTTGGGAATTGCACACAAATGCAGTAATACCCTTAGGAATTTACTTATCCCTACAAAATACGTGCGCTGTGGCATTTTAAGCCAGTTATTTGCTTTTTTGGGTCATAGGTGTGTATGTATCACAATACAAATTTGATTATGATACGCCATTTCTGTAAATGGTATGAATAAGAGCAGCTGGGGTTGAAATAAAGCAGATGTAGGCGCTTTCAGTGTATATTAATAATTTAAAGAATAAATACATACCTGTTTTTTTTTTGGAAATGCCTAAGCTTGCCCTTTGTTCTCTTTCAGCAGCTTGGCACTCGTCATACTCTCCAAATATGACCTCACTTTCTAGACAACAAAAGCAACAGACTACACAGAAAAGAAGTTGGATGAATCATCGTCATCATTTGGACTACTTGAACTGGTTCTCACTATAGCAGGAGGTGTACGCTGAGTTTTAACTTTAATTCTGATGGCATTGGTATTTATGAACACTAAGCAACAAAGCTAAGAAATCATGCGGCAAACACGCCGGGAGGCATTCTAAGTATCTAACGTAGGCTAAAAACATGATTGTGCTCACCATTTATTGCTATTTATATGCATATGTTTGTCTAAATGTCACATATTTTTGAAATCATACATATACTTTGTGCCACGCATAGCTCTTAATCTATTTTCAGATCAACATCATCAAACCAATCCAAACCAAACCAAATCAACTACTACAACGACATTCAACATAACTCTAATTAATATATTAATCTAACCATATTACCTACTATATAATATCATACATTGTATATTTGACATACTGCATAATTGAAAATTTCTTGCTATGTTGCGAAAATGTATATTTTGAACATTTTTGATTAACTTTCCACTCCTCTTCTAATAGCACCCAAATACCAAACGGCCTACGCTTGCGAAGGTAAGAAATTAACAATTGAATGCGATCCAGGCGACCTGATTAACCTGATACGCGCAAACTATGGACGGTTCTCGATAACGATATGCAATGACCATGGCAACGTGGAATGGAGCGTGAATTGCATGTTTCCCAAAAGTTTGACCGTGTTAAATTCAAAGTAAGTACCTACCGTACCGTTTAATCTCAAGGACCCCACACGCACGTTATATTATAACTGCTGGTTACACTTCAATTTGCAACAGATGCGCGCACAAGCAAAGCTGCAGTGTGTTGGCGACGACGAGCATGTTTGGCGATCCCTGCCCTGGCACACACAAATATTTGGAGGCACACTATCAATGCATATCGGCCTCACAAACATCAACTACCACAAATCGTCCAAGTCCGCCATGGGTTTTGGCGAATAACCCACCGTTGCTTGCTAATGGCAGCACGCTCATCAATCCGAGTGCTCCTCTCCAACCACCGGGGCCCGGTCGCCTGCCATTGCCCGCTGGTGCGGGTGCTCCAGCCGCAGGTGGCATATGGCATACGCTACCGCCAACGCCGGGCCCACCGCAACCCACCTTGCCGGGTGGCCGGCTAAAGGGTAGCTACAATACAACGGCGATAAAGAATTCTAATAGGCATGACGGGTTACCACCACCGCCGCCGTTGCATCATCACCACCACTCGGGACATCACCCAACGTCGTTAGGGGATGCGGTCAATGCGGCTGATGCTTCAGGGTCCAATACTCGATCACAAGCGAAAGGTGATGCAGCAATGCGAACGCCAAGTACAAATCAAAGTTAGTTATTGTTTAAATTATAATTTTTTGTTTGCTTTAATATTTTCCTAATATTTCTGCGAACAGCCAAATCCTACACGGGTCCGTCCAACACAACCACCTCTCCCAATACACGTATACTTAGCGGGGTTGGTGGCAGTGGCACAGATGACGGCACCTTGCTAACTGCTAAAACAGCGCAAAATCGTGGCAACCAACCGCAGAGTACAGCTACCCAACAACATGCCACTGGTGGTAATAATAATTTAATAGGCACCGCCACAGATGCTGGCAACGGAGGTACTGGCATCCGCACCATCAACAACATAAACAATCTCAATTTGGGTTTGGGTGCGGTTGCTGAGGATGAAACGAATATGTTCTGTGGACCCACAAATGCACGTAATTTGTTCTGGAATATAACGCGTGTCGGCGATGTAAATGTGCAGCCATGTCCAGGTAAAATTCAAATGTTTAGTAAGAAATTATCGTTGCGTTGAAACAAAAAAACCTTCTTTACTAGGCGGTGCCACAGGCATTGCGAAATGGCGGTGTGTGCTCATGAAGCGCGTCACGTTTAAAGAAGACGTTGGCGGTACACCAGAGCCAACTACCATGCGCACAATGCTACGCTCTAATTGCAGCGCCAACGCAAATAGTAGCTGCGAAACCGCCGCTGATAGACTAAATCGTCGCATAGGGAACTTTGAACCCACTTGGCACCCCTTAACACCCGATCTGACGCAATGCCGTAGTCTATGGTTAAACAGCTTAGAGGTACGCGTCAACCAACGAGAATCATCGGTTATCTCAATTGCAAATGATCTGTCGGAGGTATGTAAAAATTATTATATTTAATCGTGGGATGTTTCAATTGAAAATTTACATTTGATTTTTCTAATATAGGTGACTAGCAGTAAAACTCTGTATGGCGGTGATATGCTTGTTACCACAAAAATTATACAAACCATGTCGGAAAAAATGTTTCATGACAAAGAAACATTACCCGATCAACGCCAGCGTGAGGCTATCATATTAGAGCTCCTACATGGTGTAGTAAAAACTGGTTCAAATTTATTGGACGAGTCGCAATTATCATCTTGGATGGATCTAAATCAGGAAGATCAAATGCGTGTTGCAACATCGCTGCTTACGGGACTAGAGTACAATGCATTTCTGTTGGCCGATACGATAATACGCGAGCGGAATATTGTGCAAAAAGTAAAAAATATATGTAAGTGGAAGAGGGATGGTATAAAAATAAAGACAATATACAATTAAAAATTTGGCAACTAGGTTTGCAAATAATTCATTGAAATAGTACCAAAAATACAATTTGGTCTTATCCCATTACTTTTTCTCGTCCTTATTTAGTGTTATCTGTACGTGTTTTGGAAACAAAGAATATCCAGAGCAATGAAGTTTTCCCAGACCTCGAACAGTGGCAAATCAGTGATGACCGCATTGAGTTACCACGAACTGCGTTGATTGAGAACAGCGAAGGTGGGCTTGTACGCATAGTTTTTGCTGCATTCGACCGTCTAGAATCGATTTTGAAACCATCATACGATCATTTTGATTCCAAGAGCTCCCGTAGTTACGGTAAGTTTTCTTTAATTTTACTTTAATAAATATTTGCTCTTATTTATACATCAACACTTTGTAAAATAGTTCGCAACACTGCTTTACTGGCAAGTGAACGCAATGATACAGGTGCAGCTGCTGATATCCAGCAGCAACGCATACGCATACTAAATAGTAAGGTGATATCGGCTAGTTTGGGCAAAGGGCGTCATATACAACTATCACAACCCATCAAATTAGTTTTGCGGCACATAAAAACCGAGAATGTGACAAACCCAACCTGTGTCTTTTGGAACTACATAGATCAGTAAGTCGCTTTTACCACATTTTTCGCTTGATTGCAAATTATTAATTAACTCTTTATAGCGCTTGGTCGGCAAATGGGTGCAACTTGGAGTCTACAAATCGTACGCACAGCATTTGTATGTGCAATCATCTCACCAACTTTGCCATACTAATGGACGTTATGGACGAGCACAATCATTCGCTGTTTGGCGTCTTTAATGGCAACATGCGTATACTTATCTACATCAGCATATCGATTTGTCTGGTGTTTGTGGTCATTGCATTGCTAACGCTTAAGATCTTCAATGGCGTATTCATAAAGGTAAGCGGTCGTCGTGGTAGTCAGGGTGGTCTTGGCGGCAGTCAGCGACAGCGCGGCAGCCGCCGCCAGAACAATATACGTGATCAGACGCATGAAACGCTCGCAATTACTTCAGCGTCGGGTACAGCGACAACAGCATCCGGCTCAAGCGGTCAGCCAACGCCCACTAACAACATACAAACTCTACAACAGCAACTCAACTTACAACATATACCAAATTTAATGGGCGCGTCGGGTAGTCATCACGCTAGTGCAACGCCCTCGAATTTCATACAACACAATTCAATACGAAATTCGAATCGCAACAACTTGAATGCTAACAATTTCAATCTGCAGCAACAGGCCGCGCAGCAACAACAACAGCAGCAGCAACAACAAGTCGTGGCTGCCGCCGCTGCTGCAGTTGTGGTGGCACAGCATAACCAACGCAACTTACAAATGAATAATTTGAATTTGAACTTAAACTTACAACCGCCACATCATCACAATCCGCACGGTCACAATCTGAATCAGCCGGCAACGTCTACGCATATGCATGTTAGCGCGGCGGCGGCACATGCCCCCCATCACGGCACCATAGAGACGTCGATGAGTAACACGACGTCCGTGGCGGCCATGGCGGCGGCAGCTACAATTGCTGCAGCGCTACAACATGCGGGCAGCAATAATAATTTGAATGTGAATCGTAACAGTAATAATGTGGGCGTCAACAATCGCATTGGTGATGCGAATACAAATACAAATAATATTATAATGCAAGGAAATATGGAAGATTTACAGTATAAGTGGTGGTGGTGGTGAAATATTTCATATGATTAATGTTCTTTGTTTTTTTATTTGAGTTTATGATAATTATGTAGACGATTATTTGGATAAACGTACATATATGTATGTAAGTAGCTTAGTTTATACATAAAGGTAAAAGCGACTTAGCCGCTTTAAAATACTTTAGAAGGAACGTGAAATTCTAAATTGATTAAGTTGTTTATGTTTTTTATGCATTCGATTTATAATTTTTATTGTTATTTGTACTGATTATTGTAGTAGTAAATGTGATATACTGTTAAGTATAAAATTTTTTAGTGATTTATGACATTTACTTTATTTTAGTGCCTTATGGCGTTAGTGCATGTGTATTTAATTGCTTGGATTTTAAGATTTTCTTTTAATTTCTCATTATTTTAGTGTGTATGTTCTTGTGTTTTTTTTTAGTAAATTTAGTTCATAGAATGCATATGATTTTTAATGTTTATATTATTTAAGTTAGCATAAATTGCATATGTTTTGGTTTGGCATTTATTTAAAATCTCATCACATTTCATACATAAATCACAATAAATGTCCTTTTGCGTATTTGAAAACAAATATTTTCGTCCATTTGTCATTGTGTTCATTAATTAAATTATTTGCTGTTTTGTGTGTTATTTTTTGTTTTTGTAAATCGTCTCATTTGCTGTGTCTATATCCTATCCAAAAATCCACCAATACCAAAAACCACCACCACTTTACTATAAAATTATTAATACAGTTAAATAAGCAAAAAAAATAAAATTAAGCAAAAAATTTCCTACAAATGTCGATTTTTTTTTAATTTGGCGAAATTTATGAAAAATTATTTTAAGCTTCAAAATTTCAAAACTATATATAAAATAATTTTGAACATTTTTGAGAAATTTTTTCTTGCTGTACCTTGCAAGCCCTAAAAACTGTATTAATAGCTTACTATATAATGTACTTGCATTATAAGATTCTTTTTGTCTACCAAAAAACTGTTGCTGCTGCCGCTAGTAACTTTTTCATTCACATGTTTTTTTTTTAATTTATTAAACTGTATCTGTTTTTCAAAAACTTTTTTCCAAAAAATTTTGCACATTTTCCCTATTCTGTTCTTATTTTTTTACAGTCTGCGCGCACTTCCATCTACCGCAGCATTTATATATGTCTACTTTTCATTGAAATTCTTTTCCTAATCGGCATTGAGCAGAATGAGACGAGTATTCTCTGTGGTTTTACTACTGTGTTTCTTCATTGTTCAATACTATCGGCGATTGCGTGGTTCTGTTTCGAAGGTGAGTTCAGGATTTCTTTATTTTTCTTTATATTTTCTCGAATAAGACTACACAGTATTAAAAGGAGTTGCATGTGCCTCAGGAAATAAACTAAAACATTTCCAGGCCGATTCTGAACAGAAACTCCCTGTGAGTTCTCTCTTTTCCTCCTATTATGAATAAAAATTTCCTGAGGATTTTTTATTTTAAATGGCGAGTTGAGCTGTCAAAAAAGTGTCAAACAACTCTTTCGAAGTTCGAGTTTCCTCCTCCAAAATTTTCGGGGAAAATGCTACTCCCTGGGAGTTAATTATTGGAGGATTTCTTCCTCGGGAGAAACAAATTCTTGGAGAACAAACTCCCCGGGAGTATTCAGAATGGGGCAGATTTTCTTTCTTACAAATATCAAAACTTATTTTGTTACTTGCGCTCAAGGGTGTATTATTATAACTTTGCTCACGTAACTGTTGTAGGTAAGAGCGTAACGTAATTGAGATATCGCCGCCTGGACAAAATATTGTGAAATGTTAATTTCACGACTCTCGCCATGAGGCTGATTAACTTTAACATAGATTTATACATAGCCAAGGACTGCCACTTCAGCATCATTCTCCAAAAACTCTTTGGGGAATTTACATACTGTTACACCCGCAAACATAGTTGACCGCAAAAATAAGTTTACGCGTCTTTCTTCGCCTTCAACTATGTTAAAAGACTTTCTTCGTAGAAGTTTTTTATGCGTCTTTTTTCGCCTTCAACTATGTTAAAAGACTTTCTTCGTAGAAGTTTTTTATGCGTATTTTTTCGCGGTCAACTTTTGAGCCAACGTCTTTATTTGTGTCTAGTGACGGTATATGCTCTTCACTTGGCCATATATGACCCTATGCACCTCTCCGTACTTTGTGAAACGGACACGCACTCCAAAAGAAAGTGCAATGGTGTCTCTTTGGCAGAGCCAAAGAAGCGATATAGTAAGTCGCTTGACCAGATCCTCAGATTAAACAAGTGGCCTCTAAGCCTGCAATGTCCCGTTAAATGCATGTTATAATTCTTAGCCTCTCCATGGGGAGGATTAGAAGTAGCCTCTATTTCTTTAGATTTTACAGTTTTATCGTACTATCGTATCGGGCGATATGAATATATGAGCGATAACCGAACCGACATCGGCCGTTGACGTCAGTCAGTGACGATAAATTCAAACATGTTTGTTTTTCTCGCCCGATGTCGGGCTGCGAAAAATTAACTTATTGGGTGCAAAACAAAAAACATTACCTATAATTACATGGTTAAAGTATTTATGTCAATTAAAATGTATCAAAATATATCACTGCTTACAAAATTGTAATGAAAACCAGATTTGTGTGTACAAATACGGACGGAAAATAATCTGGTTAAGTGTGCGATTCAGTTCGGACGGTCAAATTGTTCGGCCGAAATCGGTCGGCCTATCGGATGCAATGTGCGCCTAGCTTTATAACATTTTTGTCCCCAAGGATTACCCTTTCTGAGATCTGGAGAGTGAAATTTTTGTATAACCCGGCCAAGTTAGCTCAAAATATGGTGTAAGCTTAAAAAAATTCGGATAAAGCTCTATACATACTTAAGTGCGCGTGAAATCCACTACTTCACAAGTAGGTGACAGGTAATAGCATGAAAGGAAATAAGGTCAATTGACTTTATTTCGCACCAGGGTGGGCATTATTACCTTTTTAAAAGCGAAATAAAATCCATTGACATCATTGCTCTTTCAAACATTAAATTTGCTTAGCTTCGCGTCGGCCAGCGTCCGCGCGCCACACCACGTCACGCTATGCCGCTGCTTTTAAATGATTTTGTCACAAATTGCTGGCGGAGACATGAATACAGTGTAAGAAAATTCTTTTTCTATAATTGTTTCCTTATAGAAAGGTTGGTTTCTTTTCCACCGAAATTCCGAATTCGTTCAAAATATGCTAATTTAAAACACAGAATTTTTTCAGTATTCCTCCGAGGTTTTTGGACATAAACTGTTTCTTCAATTTATTAGTGTTCGCTTTATTTTTGTGGAAACGAAACATGTTTTGCAAGTTATGGATCATTTCTCCACTCTTTCTTCAAATATTTCTCGTTTTCCAGCTGTGCGCAGGCGCTTAGTTTTTCGCATCGTGTTTTTACATATTCGTAATTTAAATTTTTTTAATAAAATCAATTGGTGGTAGTTCATGATTGTATGTGGATTAATATCACAACACTGAGGATTTGGCAATAACCTTTTTCATCTATTAAAAAGCAACACTTACGGAGAAATGTTTACTGTAACAAAATTTTTTTCTATGAATTGACATACTTTAAGCATTGTTAACGCTATTTCCATTTGAATGAGGAAATAGCGTCAATGACTTTATTTCCAAATTTTTGTTGACTTTATTTCGCTTTTGAAAAGGTAATAATGTCAATTGACTATATTTCCGTTGATCTTGTTACCTGTCACCCATATTGTGCAGAAATTTTTTTTTTCATCTCACTTGGTTTTGTGATTAACCTTACCGTTTTGCTGAAAAATGCAAAAATAAATTTATGTGACCTTCTACCTTGAATAAATTTGTTTGCATGCGTGGGATCGATGGGGAATTTTGCCATTTTATTCATAATGGTGTTCGCAACACTCGTACACATTTTCAGTTTTATGCGAGTTATTGTATCCTTCAATGACTAACTTGACCGGAACGGAAAATGTTCGATAGGGCCTTTCCATATTAAGATAGCGATATATGTCAGTAATTGAATGGTTCAAAATATCAAAATATAAAAAATTATCAAAATATTCGCCATAAGAAGGCCTTTGCATTGGTCAACTTTGCATTCTACGTTTGGCTGAACGGTCTTTCAACTAATCGCTTTCAACAAAGTTGGCCGCCAGCCAACATTTTGCCATTCAACTTTTTTTTTAGTAACCCTGCAAGTGTTTTGCCTAAAATTCATCTTTGAGTGCACAAGGGTAAAATAGAGTTCTTTTCAGTGTCCCGCCAGTCACATTCATTCAAATGATAGTTACATAAAACTATCAGAAGAAATCGCTTGGTATTTTTGTTAAAGCAGTTTGATACATTAGTTATCGTTTATGTTAAAAAATATCTTTCGCTGTGTATAAGTTCCGACGGCATAGTTAAAATTTACAATTGAACACATTCCCACTAGTGACAATGAAATGGCCCATAACAAGTAATTCTTAAGCACAATAAACAACGGACTAAAATGATTTTATACAAATTTCGGAGTACCGTTAATTTCTTCATGATTCAATTAGCGGAACTGAACGAAAATAAATAGTAATATCTTTTATTCTACTATCAGAAACCTCACAGTCTTTCTTGTCGAAGAGACTGTATATCAACAGCGCGTCAGACGTTGCAATATTTCCAAAATTTCCACGCAATTCGCTGTTAAATTAAGAAAGAGTAATTTTATTTCCAGATGTAAACAGCCAGTAAGACCTTTCTGTCACTTTTCGGAAATGGGTTTCAGAAATCACGGCTCAGTTATGAATACTTTGCACTGCATTGCATAGCATATAATTTGACGCAGAAATCAAAAATCAACAGACTTCTACATAGATATGTAATGCTGTGCGTTGGGTAACCACTTACACGCAAAACTCATTTAACAGATCCCTTATGTGCAGAGGTGGGCACTACCGCAAACAAGCGTGAGCTAAAAGTGTGCCTAATTCATTTTGCACAAGGCATTTTCAACAAAGTAGAAGTGACAATTAAATCGAGCTCTTTCATAATTTGCGATCCCTTAAGGCCGGTCCACATAGAACTTTGGCGTTGGCTTTGGCGTTGGCGTTGATTAACAGCTGACTATGAATACACCCAATTATATGGACATGTCCACATACCTACGGCAACGCCAACGCCAAATAAATAAAATTATGTGAAATATTTTTAATTTTTAATCAAATGTAGGTAAGAAATATCATTTTTCATGCAATTATTGATATGAAATATTAATTTATCTGTCGTTAGTATGAAATCTAGTGCTGCTGTTGTTGTTGTAGCGGCTACAACAACCCCGCCCAGGACGGTTGGTATCTCAGTCGTTGTCGTCAAGTTCCACTAACGGCAACCCTAGGAAGCGTGCAGCTTCTGTGGGGTTTGTCCACAGGGACAAGGCCGTTAGGGTTGTCGGGTTTTCCGGGCATGCGAAGAGATGTTTCGAGTCATGTGGGGTCTCTCCGCATGTCGGACACTCATTCGGCACATCCTCATTCAACCTACTCAGGTAGAAGTTTAACCTGCTGCAGTAGCCGGAGCGAAGTTGTGCAAGTGTTGTGCGAGTCTCCCGAGGCAGATGAAGCTCCGTCTCGTCTATGTCCGGGGGTGGTATGCCTAGAACGGCATTCACATGTCTAGAGTCTACATAACTCGAGACTGAGTCCCTGTGAATGCCGTTCAGAGCCTGTCGGTAAGCTGTCGGGTCCAGAGGTTGCTTGATGAACCTCTGGACTTCGTTTGTCAGTTCATATAGATGCCTCCTGAAGTGCCTAGGCGGGGGCTCCTCTGCAAGCAGCTGTCTGCTTGGGTGGCCACTTCTGTGGCTCCCGGTCAGGAACTGCTTGCAGAGCATTCTATTGTGCTCATTTACGGGGAGCATTTGAGCCTCGCCGTGTAGATGGTGTTCAGGCGACATCAGGAGGTATCCTGTCGCTGTCCTGAGTACGGTGTTCTGTACAGTCTGTAGCTTCGTCCACTGCGTCCTACTAGTCCCTGGCGACCACACAGGCGCTGCGTAGTTCAAAACCGGTCGGCCTATTGCCTTGTATGTTGCCAGCAAAGTTTCTTTGTCTTTGCCCCAAGTACTGCCGGCTAGCGACTTGAGGACCTTGTTGCGGCTCTGTAAATCTAGTGCTCAAAGCATTCGCTGCCAAGCGTTCATTAACTAACGTTCTGTCAAACTAACGCCAACGCGAAAGTTCTATGTGGACCGGCCTTTACGCATGAACGAAAGACACAAGATCACGCGGGAAGGTAAGAAAGAAA